TCAAGATGGCTTTGGCTATTCGGGGTCTTTTGTTTTTCCATAGAAATTGTGATTTTTTTGGTTGTAATTCTATGAAAAATGACATTGGTAGTTTGATAGGGATTGCATTGAATCTGTAAATTGCTTTGGGTAGTATAGTCATTTTCACAATGTTGATTCTTCCAATCCAAGAGTGTGGTATATCTCTCCAGCTGTTGCTATCATCTTTAATTTCGATCATCAGTGTCTTATGGTTTTCTGCATACAGGTGTTATGTCTCCTTAGGTAGGTTTATTCCCAGGTATTTTATTCTTTTTGTTGCAACGGGAAATGGGAGTGTTTCCGTAATTTCTCTTTCAGATTTTTCATCATCAGTGTATAGGAATGCAAGAGATTTCTGGGCATTAATTATGTATCCTGCTACTCTACCTAATTCATTGATTAGCCCTCATGGTTTTCTGGTGGCATCTTTAGGATTCTCTATGTATAGTATCATGTCATCTGCAAACAGTGACACTTTTACTTCTTCTTTTCCAGTTTGGATTCCTTTTATTTCTTTTTCTTTTCTGATTGCTGTGGCTAAAGCTTCCAAAATTATGTTGGATAATAGTGGTAAATGGACAACCTTGTCTTATTCCTGAACTTAGAGGAAATGTTTTCACTTTTTCACCATTGAGAATGATGTTGGCTGTGGGTTTGTCATATATAGCCTTTATTATGTTGAGATAAGTTCACTCTATGCCTACTTTCTGGAGAGTTGTTATCATAAATGGGTGTTGAATTTTGTCAAAACCTTTTTCTGCATCTATTGAGATGATCATACGGTTTTTCTCCTTCAAGTTGTTAATATGGTTTATCACATTGATTGATTTGCATATATTGAAGAATCCTTGCATTCCTGGGATAAACCCGACTTGATCATGGTGTATGATCCTTTTAATGTGCTGTTGGATTCTGTTTGCTAGTATTTTGTTGAGGATATTTGCATCTATGTTCATCAGAGATATTGGCCTGTAGTTTTCTTTTTTTGTGATATCTCTTTCTGATTTTGGTATCACGGTGATGGTGGCCTCGTAGAATGAGTTGCAGAGTGTTCCAATCTCTGCTATATTTTGTAAGAGTTTGAGAAGGGTAGGTGTTAGCTCTTCCCTAAATGTCTGATAGAATTTGCCTGTGAAGCCATCTGGTCCTGGGCTTTTGTTTGTTGGAAGATTTTTAATCACACTCTCAATTTCAGTGCTGTGATTGGTCTGTTTATATTTTCTATTTCTTACTGGGTCAGTGTCAGAAGGTTGTGCTTTTCTAAGAATTTGTCTATTTCTTCCAGGTTGTCCATTTTATTGGCATACAATTGCTTGTAGTAATCTCTCATGATCCTTTGTATTTCTGCACTGTCAGTTGTTACTTCTCGTCTTTCATTTCTAATTCTGTTGATTTGAGTCTTCTCCCTTTTTTTCTTGATGAGTCTGGCTAATGATTTATCAATTTTGTTTATCTTCTCAAAGAACCAGCTTTTAGTTTTATTGATCTTTGCTATAGTTTCCTTCATTTCTTTTTCACTTATTTCTGATCTTTATGATTTCTTTCCTTCTGCTAACTTTGGGTTTTTTTGTTCTTCTTTCTCTAATTGCTTTAGGTGTAAGGGTAGGTTGTTTATTTGAGATGTTTCTTGTTTCTTGAGGTAGGATTGTATTGCTATAAACTCCCTCTTAGAACTGATTTTGCTGCATCCCATAGTTTTTGGGTCATCGTGTTTTCATTGTCATTTTTTTCTAGGTATTTTTTGATTTCCTCTTTGATTTTTTCAGTGATCTCTTGGTTATTTAGTAATGTACTGTTTAGCCTCCATTTGTTTGTATTTTTTACAGTTTTTTTCCTGTAATTGATATCTAGTCTCATAGCATTGTAGTTGGAAAAGTTACCTCATATGATTTCAGTTTTATTAAATTTACCAAGGCTTGAATTGTGACCCAAGATATGATCTATCCTGGAGAATGTTCCATGAGCACTTGACTAGAATGTGTATTCTGTTGTTTATGGATGGAATGTCCTATAAATATCAATTAAGTCTATCCTGTTTAATGTGTCATTTAAAGCTTGTGTTTCCTTATTTGTTTTCATTTTGGATGATCTGTCCATTGGTGAAAGTGGGTGTTAAAATCCGCTACTCTTATTATTGTATTTGCTTTCGATTTCCCCTTTTATGGATGTTAGCATTTGCCTTATGTATTGCAGTGCTCCTACGTTGGGTACCTAAATATTTACAATTGTTATATCTTCTTCTTGGATTGATCTCTAGATCATTATATACTGTCCTTTGTCTTTCATAATAGTCTTTATTTTAAAGTCTATTTTGTCTGATATGAGAATTGCTACTCCAGCTTTCTTTTGATTTCCATTTGCGTGGAATATCTTTATCCATTCCCTCACTTTCAGTCTGTATGTGTCCCTAGGTCTGAAGTGGGTCTCTTGTAGACAGCCTATAGATGGGTCTTGTTTTTGTATCCATTCAGCCAGTCTGTGTCTTTTGTTTTGAACATTCAATCCATTTACATTTAAGGTCATTATTGATATGTATGTTCCTATTACCATTTTCTTAATTGTTCTGGGTTTATTTTTGTAGGTCTTTTCCTTCTCTTGTGTTTCCTGCCTAGAGAAGTTCGTTTAGCATTTGCTGTAAAGCTGGTTTGATAGTGCTGAATTCTCTTAAGTTTTGCTTGTCTGTAAAAGTTTTAATTTCTCCATCAAATCTGAATGAGATCCTTGCTGGGTAGGGTAATCTTTTTTGTAGGGTTTTCCCTTTCATCACTTTATATACGTTTTGCTACTCCCTTCTGGCTTGCAGGGTTTCTGCTGAGAAATCAGCTGTTCACCTCATGGGGATTTCCTTATATGTTATTTGTTGCTCTTCCCTTGCTACTTTTAATATTTTTTCTTTGTATTTAATGTTCATAGTTTGATTAATATGTGTCTCAGTGTGTTCCTCTTTGGGTTTATCCTTTATGGTACTCTCTGTACTTCCTGGAGTGGATTGACTATATCCTTTCCCATGTTAGGGAAGTTTTCAAGTATAATGTCTTCAAATATTTTCTCAGACCCTTTGTTTTTCTGTTCTTCTTCTGGGACCCCTATAATTTGAATGTTGGTGTGTTTAATGTAGTCCCAGTGGTATCTGAGACTGTCCTTAATTCTTTTCATTCTTTTTTCTTTATTCTGCTCTGTGGTAGTTATTTCCACGATTTTATCTTCCAGGTCACTTATCTGTTCTTCTGCCTCAGTTATTCTGCTATTGATTCCTTCTAGAGTCTTTTTAATTTCAGTAATTGTGTTTTTCATCACTGTTTGTTTGCTCTTTAATTCTTCTAGATTCTTGTTAAACGTTTCTTGTATTTTCTCCATTCTGTCTCCAAGATTTTGGATCATCTTTACTGTCATTACTCTGAATTCTTTTTCAGGTATATTGCCTATTTTGTCTTCATTTATTTGGTATTGTAGGTTTTTACCTTTCTCCTTCAATTGTAATGTAGTTCTTTGTTGTTTCTTTCTTTTTTTTTTTAATGGGTGGTGCTGTATTCCTGTCTTACTCGTTGTTTGGCCTGAGAGGTACAGCCATGACGTTTGCAGGCAGTTGGATACAGCTGGGTCTTGGTGCTGAGATGAGGACTTCTGGGGGCCCTCACTCCAGTTGACATTCCCTGGTGTCTGAGGTTCTCTGTTAGCCCAGCGGTTTGGACTTGGAGCTCCCACCACAGGAGCTTGGGCCCTACCTGCCCGCTGGGAACCAAGGTCCTGCAAGCTTCATTTTGTAGTTAAAAAAAAAAAAAAAAAAGGAGGAAAGAAAATAAAATGGAGCAGTAAAATATCGAAGAATAAAAAACAAAATAAAATTGGAAAGATAAAAAATATATTAGGATAAATAAAACTGTCATTGGAAAAAGTGCAACAAAGTAAAATAAAACCACAACTGAAAAAGGAAAAAAAAAGGAAAGAGGGAACAAGCCAAAAGGAGAGATCACTAACAAGGTATAAAGAATAAAATAAAATTAGAAAAATAAAAGATTAATTAGGAAAAATAAAAATATAAAAGTATCAACAACAATGAATCAAGAAGGTAAAACAGAACCCCAATCTGAAAGAGGAAAAAGGAAAAGAAAAAGAAAAAAAAAAAAAACCTTGGCTATGGGGCCGGAGTTTAGGTTGGGGTGGAACTTAGGCAGGGGTGGGGTTTATGGTGGTGTGGGACCTAGGTGGGTGGGGTGGTGACATTTGAGCGTGGTGCGGGGCCTTTTCTTAGGACCTGCAGAGAATGGGAGAGGCAGCACATGGAAAGGAGGGCCTCTGGAGTGTGGGGTTCCAGAGTTTGGAGGTAGGACCATGAGTGACGGTGTGTGGGTGGGGTTTAGGCCCAGTGCGTTGGAGGGAGTCTCCGAATGTAGAGGTAGGGCCCTGTGTGGGGATGTAGGGGAGGGGCTTGGGCTCTGCGGCAGGAGGGAGGCTCCGAGGGCAGAGGATTAGGCCCGGGAGCCCAACAGGCTTCCCTGTGCCTAAGTGGACAGGGAAAGCACTGGCCCTGTTCCCTTCTGTTCCTTTGCACCCCTCCCCCACTGTATCCCCCAGGGTCTTCCCCATCGCCGCTGGACCCCTAACCGTGGGTGGGTCCCTCTGAGTGTGGGAACTCCGTCCCTTCTGCAGTCATTCCTCAGGGATCCTGGTCCCAGAGGTCCAGCCTTTACTTTTGCTCCCCCTTCCATCCCTCCCACTCCCTCAGGACCCGAGTGGGTGGAGGGGGCCTAGATGGTCAGAGGATCAGGCCTGGGATCTCTACAGGTTCCTGGGAGTCCAGGTGGGCAGGAGAAACCTGGCCATGCTCCCTTTTGATCCTCTGCCCTCCCAATGGCTCCCCAATTTCCCCCTTCAGGTGTGGGGTCCCTTCCCTTCCCCCAGCTGCCCCTCAGGGATGCCAGTCCCATCCCACCTCCACTTCTCCTCCCCCTTCACTCCCCCCATGCCCTTCGTCCTACCCCATCGCTGGGGGTTCCTCCTGTTCCCTTAGGTGACCATGGTCCCCCACCGGTGTCTGGTAGGTGCCATTGTTGTGAGGAGACGCAAATTCCACGTCCTCCTAGTATGCCGTCTTGACTCAGCCTTTTCTTCTCTCATTTTTAAAATGTTGAAAACTTTCAAACCTGTAGAAAAATTGGAAGAACAATGCAATGGGTCCGTATATGCCCCTCATTTATATTCAAGAATTTAAACATTTTTGTAGAATACTTTAACCTGATATATTTCCACATATATTTCCTAAAAATAATTACATCCTCCTACATAGCCAGAATATGTCTATCACCATTGTCATTATATTGATGGTTGTGGGAGTGGGAGTAGAATTAGTCTCATTTTTCTATTCTACAAAAAAGATACCTCACTAAAGAAATAAGTGGTGCTTGGTGCTTTACATTTAATTAAAATAAAAAATATAATAGGAAATTCAGGTTTCTTCACTCAATGAATATTTTGGAGTGATCTTTTCTCTGGACATAAGATTTGAGAAGATTTTTCCAGGTGATTTTGGATGCGCAGGCTCAGCGGCCATGGCTCACGGGCCCAGCCGCTCCGCGGCATGTGGGATCTTCCCAGACCGGGGCACGAACCCACGTCCCCTGCATCAGCAGGTGGACTCTTAACCACTGCACCACCAGGGAAGCCCTTCTAGGTGATTTTGATACTCATATTTAGTTTTGAAAAGTGAAAACTGTATTTTCCTCTTCATTTATTTCCAGCTTCATTAAGGTATGATTGACAAATAAAAGTTGTATATATTTAAGGTGCACAATGTGATGACTTGATATACATTGTGAAATGATTACCATAATTAAGCTAGAAACATGTAGGACTACATCAAACTAAAAAGTTTCTGGGGCTTCCCTGGTGGCGCAGTGGTTAAGAGTCCGCCTGCTGATGCAGGGGACGCGGGTTCGTGCTGCGGTCTGGGAAGATCCCACATGCCGCGGAGCAGCTGGGCCCGTGAGCCATGGCCTCTGAGCCTGCATGTCCGGAGCCTGTGCTCCACAACGGGAGAGGCCACAGCAGTGAGAGGCCCGCGTACCTCAAAAAAAAAAAAAAAAAAAAAAAAAGTTTCTGCAGAGCAAAGGAAGCAATCAACAAAATGAAAAAGTAATCAGTGGAATGGGAGAAAATACTTGCAATGCAGTATTTTTCTAGTTGTGATTCTCAGATGGCTACAGGGCTCACAGCAGCCTGGGCAGAAAGCTTTTTCTCTCCAAGGCTCAGGGATCGTCAATAGAATGATCATAGACAGAAGAGGTTGAAAGATCCCTAGAGGATGCTAATAGTTAGAAGTTGACAAGGTGAGAAGGAACCTACCAAGGCTACTGAGTAGGAATTGTTAGTGAACTATACGGATACCAAGAGATAGTCAATCCCCAGGAGGCAAGTGAATAAAATATATAAGGGTGGGAGTGGAAAGCAATATCAAATGTTGTTGAAAGGTCAAGTTAAGTGAAGGCTGTGAATTGTCTTTGGCATATTGGAGGTCTCTGGTGACCTTAACACAAAGAGTTCTAGTTGAGTGGTAGGGGTCAAAGCTTGAATGGATTTGGTTTCAAAGGGAATCAGAAAGGAAGAAATAGAGACAGAGAGTGTGGACAACTCTTTTGAGGAGTTGTTTTATAAAAGGAGAAGGGATTGAAGAGAGTGAGTAGAGTACAAGGGGGCATGTGTCAAGGGAAAGAGTTGTCAGGTGGGAGAAATTACAGCATATTTATATGCTGATGGGAATGCTGCGGAGAAAGGAAAAATTGGTAATGTAGAGAGGGGGGTCAATTACAAGAGTAATTTCCTTGACTAGGTAGAAGGGCTTGGATCTAATACAAAGTAGACAAAAGAGAATTCTTATAGATACATTTTTAAAGTAATTTGTACTGTAGTCTGAATATATTTTCAGATTTATCTTCCTAGTCATGGATTCAATTTTCTGAAATGGAAAGCTGCATTTTAATTAGTTTATCAGACAGTCAGGAAGCAGAATACATGGATACAGGTACACATAGGCTGTTAGACATGGTTATGGCAGACTGATGAAGTCCTCTTCTTATTCCTTATATATTCTCATTAAATTGGAAGCAAAATCATTAGTTCAGGGAGAGCATTAGGAGAAGGTGTAAAAGTGGAGAGGGTATGAAGTAATCTTCGAAGAAGGTGAATAGATGAATTAGATAAATATACTGGGAGAGGGATAGAGACATGCTTGTGGTTTTGAGTCTGGGCAGCGTTTTTATCTATGACATCGCCCAGAGAGAGTAAAGCTCTGTATAAAGACCACAGAAACTGCAACAATATGAGAAAATTGGTGAGAAGTATTTTGTTCTTTCAAAAAGGAGGAATGGGGTTCAAAAAGGATGATCTGAGGGGAAAATATGTATGCTTACGGCTCCCATTCTCCTTGAAGAAGTAATGTTTCACCCAAAATAGAGGATATATGTTTTGTGAGAAGACTGAAAAGAGTAGAACTAGAGGCCTGCATTGGAGAATGTCAGTGGGACCTCACTTCTTGTCAGCCCTTGGATGCTATGTTCGGATATGAAACTTCTTACTAGGGTCCTCAGGTTCTTTGTATGTACTCCCATCTTGCTAGTGGGTGGATCTGGACTCTTTGCAGCTGAGGATTGGATATCACCTTGTTAGTAGGACTGATTAAAGACTTGCTAATCTTGTGATTTAAAGTATATAAAGTAATGAAAAACTTACTCTACCTTCAACTTAAATGTCAATAAGATCAAACTAATGTAAAAGCCCAAATTGAATCTCTGTCATCGTGTAAACTATTTAGCATAACAAATTCCTCCTGGATTTGATATATTTTCCCAGGTGAATTTGATACCTTTCCCATTTTGCCCTGCCAGGTGAAAGTTTCCATTCTATAATCTTTCCAACTGTCAATATACTAGAATGGTTCGTAATGTTGTCTTTCCTATTTGAAGATCAAAAATTAAGTAATCAGCTGATTTTGAGACTGAAATGCATATGAAATTTGTTATCAAATTTTGGAGATAGAGACCTTAACCTTTGAAAGAGAGGCATGATAGTCTTGACTCAAAGAAGAGCTAACTCAGAGACAGTCCTTTAAGCTATACTAGGAATCCTTCACTATAGGAATCTCTATTAATTAACCTATGTTAGTTAAGGGAGACGTGGTTGTGTGAACAGACTTCAACATCTCAATGACTTTACAGAATAGAAATGTGTTTCTTGCTCACTTAACAGTCCAGGGAAAATGTTTCAGTTGTGTTGGCCTTTTTTCAGATAGTCACTCAGGGACCCAGACATTTTCCATCATGTGCTTCTGTTACCCTTAAGGTCTTATAATCATAAGCCTCCCACCGGAAGTCATGGGAAGAGGCTGGAGGAGCCCATGAAAGGTTTTATGCGCCAGATACATTAATCATTTTTAATCATAATCTGAGTTGGCAAGAACTCAGAAACATGGTCATAACTAACTGCAGGGGAACCTGGAGAACATAACTTAGTGGTATTTCTAGGAAAAAGAGGTAAATGATTTTGGTGAACTGCTTAAAGCCTCTGCCATACGAATGAAGGAAAGAGTGACGGTGGCAAAATAAGGACATTGCTGAGGATTTTGTTTATTGGAAGTCGGTTGTAAGAGAGATGCTCGAGAGATTTCTGACTTTTAAAATATAAATTTTTAAGAGCTTTATTCTCATGTGTTTAAGAAGGAAAACTGGTAGTGTAGGAAGGCAGCTCTTGGTGAGAAATTTATAGTTTGGATCACTTTCACTTCTTAAATTTAGCAGGAGAGGAGAGAATTTAAAAGATAACAAGAAATCAAAACCCAAATTGGAGAAATGGGTGTCTCCAAATTTTTTTTAATTGAGGTATAATTGACATATAGCATTATATTGGTATCAGGTATGCAACATGATGACTCAGTATTTCCATGTATTATGAAATGATCAACACAATAAGTTAACATCCACCACCATACATAGTTATAATTTTTTTCTTGTGATAAGAACTTTTAAGATCTATTCTCTGAAACAACTTTTTTTTTTTTTTTTGTGGTACATGGGCCTCTCACTGTTGTGGCCTCTCCTGTTGCGGAGCACGGGCTCCGGACGCGCAGGCTCAGTGGCCATGGCTCACGGGCCCAGCCGTTCCGCGGCATGTGGGATCTTCCCGGACCGGGGCACAAACCCGTGTCCCCTGCATCAGCAGGCGGACTCTCAACCACTGCGCCACCAGGGAAGCCCCTGAAACAACTTTTATATATGCCATACAGTATCATTAGCTGTAGTCACCATGCTGTACATTGCATCTCCATGACTTATAACTGAAAGTTTGTACTTCTGACACCCTGTATCCATTTTACACCTCACCACTGCCTGCCTGCCCCCACCTCTGGCAACTGCCAATCTGTTCTCTGAATCTATGAGCTTGTTTTTTCCTTTTTTTCTTTTTTTTGGTTTTCACATATAAGTGAAATCATACAATATTTGTCTTTTCCTGTCTGAATTATTTCACTTAGTATAATGTCCTCAAGGTTTATGTTGCCATAAATGACAAGATTTCCTTTTTCAAAATGGTTGAATAATATTCCATTGGATATATATATACCACATTTTCTCTATCCATCTGTTAGTGGGTACTTAGGTTGTATCCAAGTCTTGGCTATTGTAATAATACTGCAATAAAAATAGGGGTGCCTATATCTTTTTGAGTTAGTATTTTTGTTTCCTTCAGATTAAATACCCAGAAGCAGAATTGCTGGATCATATGGTAGTTGTAATTTTCTGAGGAATGTACATATTGTTTTCCATAGCGGCTGCACCAATTTACATTCCCACCAACAGTGCATAAGAGTTCCCTTTTTTCTGCATCCTTGCCAACATTTATTTCTTTTCTTTTTGGTAGACATTTTAACTGGAGGTAGGTGATATCTCATTGTGGTTTTGATTTTCATTTCCCTGATGATTGTGATGTTGAGCCCCTTTATATGTGCTTGTACCTGTTGTTCATCTGTATGTCTTCTTTGGAAAAATGTCTATTCAGAGCCTTTGCCCATTTTTTAATTGGATATTTTTGCTGTTGAGTTTTTAAAAAAATATATTCTGGATATTAAGCCCTTATCAGATATATGA